GTTTTTAGAACCATCCCATTTTAGGAATCCTAAATCTCTTTTCTGTATCTCATTATTTGTGTTTTGTGTGGCTTTTTTTTTTAGATGGCTATTCGTATGAAAAGGAAGCAATGGAAAGCTGGATTGGTAAAAAGAAACGCACAAGTCCCATGACAAATCTTGTTCTTCCTTCTTTAGTACTCACACCAAACAGAACTCTGAAAATGGCCATCAACCGATGGCTGGAAACACAGCAAAAATAAAATTGTTTCACTACATTATGGTGTTTATATTTTTTCCATGAAGTTGGCATACTTAACTTCCTTTGTATTTTACCACATAAAAAGCCTTTTTGTAATAATGAAAAAAATTCTTAAGCTCCATAGTAAGTAATAAAGTTTGACTTTAAATTGCAATGCCCAAGTTAATTCTTGTTAGATATAAGGTGCATCCTATGACAATCAAAGACTAGTCATCTTATGACAGAAGCTTAAACCCCTAGTAGGTAAGCCTGATAATGTCTTGGAAGCCCTCTAAAGAGAATCTAATTTGCAGCATAATAATTGCAGAATTGTTTAAGAAGTAATTTTGTTGGGTTCTAAAATGTACATCATAGTGGTGATTGCTGCCTCCCCCCTTTGCCTAAGCCTAGGTATAAGTTAGATGGGGGAAGACTTTGCTAAATAAAGTGGCTAACTATCCTTGTAGAATTTTTTTCCCCTTCCTTATTATCCAAAGTGTGAAACTGCACAAAAGCATTTATATACAGTAGCCTAATATAACAGCCTCACGAGCATTCAATTGGGAGAGACCTTGAGCTTCAGGAAACTGATGTAGTAACTTCTAACACACCCTCCATAACTCGTTTACTGGAGGAGACACTACTACTGTGAAAGCTGGTTGCAACTGAAGGGCCCAGAAGGACCAAGACTCACTGTACCTGGTCATCTGTGTCTAGTGCAACACCCAGTACAGAAGAAGTACTCAAAAAACACACAAAACACCCAAACAACAAAACCCAAAACTTCAAGCTCACTGCCATCAAGCTGAAACTAACTCAGGACCTTCAAGCAGGTTTCCGAGTCTGTCACTTGCATTGGAGGAGACCATCCATCTCCTATGCGGTCGCCGATGGATCTGAGCTGCCAGAGGTGCCCCCTTTGCATTAGCTTCCAACGCCTACAGATGATGACACCTGAGCCCACTCAGTAAACTCAGTGAGCTGTAAATATAGTTTCCTTCCTCACAAATCGAAGGGAAACAGCACTGAAAACAATCATTTCCCCCTCTAGTTCAGAAACGTAGAGCAGAAAGATAGAAAACTACCCTAGAATCTCCAAATACCTTTGGTCTGCTGCTTTGTAAAATTTCTGTGAATTTTGGTGAAACTAATACATTGTGGAACTTTGTGTCACAGCTACTATTTTCAACCTGTGAATGAATATAGGACAGAAATTTTCCTTCAAACTACATATTCCACCCATTCTTACGAGAAAATTTAAAAGTTGCTATTCTAGAAAATATTTTCTGTTGTGTTCTATAAAGAATGCAAATACAACTCTAAAAAGATTTTTGAAAAAATTTACTGTACCTGGCGAACTCTGGTGGCCTAGTGGCAAGAAGCTGCACTGCAATCCCAGAGGTGCATGGTTCAAATCCATCAGATGCTCTGCTGAAGAAGGAGGGACCATCTCCTCCTGTACCAGTCAGTTCCGATTTTACAGTACACACATAAAAAATAATAATAAATTTTAAAAAAAGCTAGAAAAAAATTTACTGTATCATAATAAAACCAACAAAAATAAAGGAAAAAAATTTACTGAACCAAATAGATTTACTAAAACGGCATCAAAATCAGAATTTAATGCACAATAAATTCTGGCAATCTCATCTGAAGTCTTTCAAAGACAATCTATTAGCTACCAACATTATTTCCCTCACAGCTAAAGTTTTGGTTAACTTTTAATTTAAATATGTAACTTGAAAGATTGAAATACTTATTAGCTTTGCTAGTAATAGCATTAACCAGACGATATCATGAAGTAATTGCTGCTGTTGTTGATTGCCACCAAGTCGAGCACAACTCATAGCAATCCTATGAACAAAAGGCCTGAAGCCTTTCTGTAACTATAGTCATTTATCAAAGTTCATAGTTTCCAGAGGCATCCTGTTTAGGAAGTGGATGCTTCTCCTGCTTCCAAATCTGTCTTAAACTGGGAGTTCCACCAAACCCTGTCCATCGTGGGCAACCGTTAGCGATATTTGAAAGAACTCCTTCGCTGGTACAGTAGGTTAAGCACTCAATTCCTAACCAAAAGGTCAACAGAGCAAACCTAGCAGTTCAAATCTGCCATAGAAATGTGGCATTCTGTTTCTATAAAAATTGTTGTATGCCACTGAGTCAGAACCAACCCACAGCTGACGCTCCAGCAGATTTTCAGAGGCAGTAATCGAACAGGAGGAAACTGCGCCTCCTTCTCCTGCAGAGCGGCTGGTGGACTCGAACTGTGGGCCTTCAAGATTGTAGCCCAGAATCTTAGCACTGGGTCATCGACACTTGGAAACTATGAGGCCATTCTGTCTGCTTTAGAGGAGTGCTAGGAGTCAGAAGCAACTGGATAGCAGTGAGTTGTCTCTTTGGCTTTGTTTTTGGTTTTTATTATCAAGAAATACTTAGGCCTAGGATTCTATATCAGAATTTTACTACAGTGCAGCATAGTTTAATATTAACATTCATTAATTTGGTATAGTGTTTTGTTTTTTTTTTAAAGGGCAATACCCCACCACTTGATTGATTCCAACTCCTGGTGACTCCGTGTGCTAACAACAGAACAGGACTGCCCCATAGGGTTTTCTTGGCAGTAAACTTCACGGAAGCAGGTCAGCAGGTCTTCCATAAGAGCTGCTTCGGTGGGGGGGCTGCCAATTTTTAGGTTAGTACTTAAGCCCAGCTCTTTGAAAAGGAAATATGCAGGGATAAAGACATACACACTTTTAGCTGAAACAAATGTTAAAGATAACCTGTAATATCAACATGTAATTCCGTATATTACAGTGTGAGAGTGGAAAGAGAGACTACAAAAGTTCTTGGAACAGATTCAGTGGGTAGGGTTGGGGGAAGGAAGCACAGATTGCTTTCCTTCATGAAAAACCTACTTTAGTAAAAAAAAAAAAAGACTAATTTTTACTCTTGATTGTTTTAGAATTTCTAGACACCCTGTTCAAAAATAATTTTATAATACATTAAAATATGTATCTGGTGGTGTTACTATAAACACATAACACTATTTCAGTAACAGGCTCACCCAGAGTTAAAGAAAGCAGTTAAGTTGTAGGATACATTCTCCAATCTACCCACTACTTCATTTAATGCAAAACAAGTTCCAGTAAGTCTTTTATTCCATATGGAAAAGTACAGTAGTTGTGCAGAAACAAAACTACATAACGAAAGAGTAAGACTTCCACAAATACTAAAGAAAACAATAAATAAGCCATAGTAGTTATAAGCAGAACTCATAAAAAGCATAGAAAAAATGATAGCTATTTGTACAAAGTACACATAAGAACAATGCTGAAGAATGACACCAGAAGATTTCTACTTGTACAAAACATTAATGATGCTGCCAGGAACTTCGTTACAATGATTCATTATTAAAACATTCTGTAAATATAGAACTTCCTTCTCTCCATTTCTAGAAAATAAATTTCACATCCCAACATATAAAACAAGTACACTCTCATCTCTCAAACTAGCATCTTAACATTCTCCAACAGCACACCATACTCATATAAAAATACCTTTAAACCAAGTTGCATTCCTGTACCTTATCTTTACAGATGAATAATACATCAGTTTGGACTTAAGTAGCACCTCAGAGGTGTCCATATAAATGGGATAAAGTGCCGTTACTGGTATACTGTTAACATGCCATAACAATACATCATTCAGTGCAATAACCAGTATGGATGAAGCTTACAAACAACATGCAGATACATGACTGGACTTCCTTTTTAGATGAACTACTTTGAAACAATTATATTTACAAATCTGAATAAAATTGGTTATTAAATATGTACAACATGTGACTATAAAGTAATGAGATTATACAACAAAATAGAAGTAACAACGAGCCATACCTTAAGTATCCAAACTAAATACTGCCCTTAAAAGACCTTGGAAGGCTTGCGTAGGAGTGTTGTCAATATGAAAAGCTGTTTGGAACTAAAGAAGAGCTAAGAATTGTTTTAGTATTTTTACACAAATCCAACTTGACCATCAATCTTGAGTCTAAATGTCTTAGATGGCTTCTAAATATCACCAACACTTTCAAGAATAAATACCCTTGGTGGGGGGAAGGTGCGGTAAAATATTTTTAATAAGAACCCCAATGCTGAAATAACTGTTTACTCCTCTTAAAGGAAATGCTATGAAGGGAACAATAGTTGAGTGTTCTTGTATTTTTCTCTAAAAAGAAACAAAAATGAACTGTATTACTTTTATAGTCACATTTTATTCAGCTAGAAAGCAGATTTTAATTAAAATACGTATTTATTTGCATTGGGATTTTGACTCAGTGGAATTGTAACCTGAAAATTCCCTCCTTTCCAGAATGCATCATCTGGATATATAGAGTGAGACCCATCATTCTTTAGCAGTAGACATTTATATTCCCTAAGTAAATACAGTGATTTTATCACATAGCAAAGCCAAGACCAGAGTGATAAAAACCATAGTGAGAGAAAAAGCATGAGTTAATGTCTCCTAAATTTTTAACTTGATAGGCACAACTAATTGTAGTTGATATTAATCTTTTTTTAAGTCTAATTAGCATTCTTATTTATGGTGACTTGTAGCTATTTATTAGACACTTTATCCCACATCTGCAATATACCAGTGGTATCAGATCCACCCAAGGGGAAAAAATGGCTAAAAAGGAATTTTCCTGATAAAAATACCATTTAATTCTTTATTACCAGGAGCCAACATAACTTTTCCAAGTTCTGAATGGCTCTGTCAAGGCTCACACATTTGACTCTATGAATGATCGCTTTGGTTTCGCTGAAGGGAGGTGACTCCTGTGGGCTTCACTGCTGACATGAGGCTGCTGTTTGGAGACACTTTCCTGAAAGGCATGTGATACAGTCTTGGTTACCCTGCTCTCTGGACAGTGGACTGGAATTTGGCATTTTTCTTCTAGTTCCTTCACCTGCGCGCCATTGTGGACACTCCCACCCAGGGTAGCTGAAAAGGCTTGATTATAACCCCCGACGTGTTTGAGAGGGGGTTTCTCGGAGTTTGAGGGGTGCAGGCCCGTGGCAGGCGTGCCTGCCGCCCGTCCCTCGGGCACCTGACAGGCCCAGGGGCGGTGTGGAGGGTTGCTCTGCTGTTGGAACCTCGCAGTCTTATCCATGATGCCCATGAAGGGAGTGTTTCGGGGTCTGTGCTCGCCAGTACTGCTGGGAACCTGGTTAATGACCTTGTCTTTCACACGTGCATCAGGTCCCTGGACCTTGAAGCCATCTGAGAAGCTGCTGCTTGAAGTCAAGCTACTGGTCGAACTTGACATCTTTACGCTGCTGGATGGAGACCCGGAGGAGCCTGAGCTGGCGAGGGAGGCCGGGTGTCGCCCGTCGCCACAGCCCACGGGCCCGCCTTGGGCTGGGGGGGCCACGTCCACGGCCACGGAGGCCTGAGACAGAAGCCTCTCGGCGGTTTTCACCTTGCTTGGCAATGGGTAGGCGGTGCCGCTGTCGCTGCGCTGCAGGTGGACACTGCCCGGGCCCAGCCGATCCCCAAAGGTGCTGGAGCCGCCTCCCACGGGGAGGGTCCCCTCCACAGGCTGGTTTCTGCTGCCAGCAGGAGCTGCGGGGCCCCTCCCGGGCATGGGACTCGGGGGAGGGTTCCTGCCCGCAGCGTGCCCGGAGCCCAGGTGCTGGCTGGTCTTCACGATCTGCGCCTGCTTCGTGGGCTGCACCACCACCCCCGGCTGCGCCACGGGCTCCCGCGGGGGCCTACCGGCCCCGGGCCTGCTCTGCGGCGACGCGGGCCTCGCTCGGGCCTGCAGACCTTCTTGGAGGGTCCGGATGTACGGGGAGGGGGCGGACGCCGAAGGCGGGGGCCGTGGGGGCACAGGAGTGGATTCCTCCTGTGGAGAAGCCTCTTCTTCCTCTTCTGTCTCTTCGATATGAAAGTGGTCGTTGAGGCCCGAGGCGGAGGTGTCCTCCTCGTTGTCCGAATCGTTGGGTGCTGGCGGGGTACCCTGCAGCTTCTGCTGCTGGCTCTTCTGGAGCTGCTTGCACTCCTCTTCCACGCGGGCCAGAAGCCTCTTGATCTCCTGATTGGTGGGACAGAGTTTCACAGCTTCCCGCAGGTCAGCCAGGGCTGCCACAAACTGCCTATAGTAAAAGCAAGAGAAACGGCAAGTCATGTATGAACATGCTCGGATTGTAACTGTTCACAACATAACTGCGCTAATAGAAAACAGAAGCTAGTAAGAGGGTCGGGAACGTTTCCTGTACAGTCAAGACCCATTTAACTAGCCTGGAGTTCCTTACAGTGGCAGTGCTGAATTCTAACCTGGATCTGAGGGGCTCTGTTCCAGGGTTCCCTCTACAAGGCACACTGACAAGGATGTAGGTGTGCATCATGGGCCCCAAGCATCCCCTTGTCACGCTCACCTCTAGCTCAAAAGCCTCACACAGTTGCTCCTTCTCCTCACCACCACCCCCTCCGCTGACTGTCCTGGGTTTCACTGATAATACAGGGTAATAACGTAGGCACTTTATGTTGCTGTACATCTCAACTGAGAGTAAGGGTGATGGGGAGAAGGAAGTGATCCAGTACCTGCTATTTCTCTTGGCTCTTGCCCTGGCATAATAGGCTTCGTAAGACTTGGGTTTCAGTTCGAGAGCCTTGGAGGCAAATTCTTCTGCCATGCCAAAGTCCTGGTATCAATATTTAAATACATGGGTTAAAAAAAGAAATGTGATTATCGTCAGTTTTCATAGATATTTTGATCTAAAGAGTAGCAGAAACTTGAGATGTTACTAGAGAAGGTTAAAGGGACAAGTTTGGGCTTTTACGTTTTCGTACTGCTCTATTTTCTTTTAAAGTTAAGAATTACAATGGGCTGTAAGGATCTCTTAAATAATGATGCAGTAGAGAAACCAAAATGGATGATTTGGGACAGGAGGGTGACTAGTGAGCAAAGCCGTCCATCAGGCCTGGGATCTAGCATGCTGGTGGCGGGCAGATTAGGCCCACTGAAACAGGAAGGCAGGCAGAATATGTGTGCCGGTGCTGACGGATTAGTGATGAAGTCAGAAAAGGACGGCACAGGAAGGGCAGGGAGATGGGAGTGAGTAAGGTAGGGGTATATAAATATACATTCACTAGTTACTGGCATACCCCCTGTGCAAACAAGAACTAGGAAGATTCTAAGAGACTTCTGTGTTGGACTTCATGCTGCCTGGCCAACTCATGATAAAGGGGGCAACCTCTGATTGAGAAGGGGTGAAGGAATAGTACGCATGTGCTTCTTACCATCAAGGCAGGGGAAATACACCCAAGTGTAATCTTTGAGAGGTAGGGAGTGTGTCATACAAGAGAAGCAGGCTTCCCATACAGCCCGTTCGTAAATAGGGCAATAAGTCTGCTCAGAGGCCACAAGGTGTAGAAGAGCTCTGTGGAAGAGCTGGCGTTCACCACCAGAAAGGCATTCTATTGAAAGGTCTGGGCTGGGAAGATGGTGCAATGCTTACGTTGGTTTTTCTTCGGCAGCGAGACAAATTGAGATAGAGGGAAACTCTTAATTCATTAAACGGTCTCATGTCTTCCCCGAGTCCTTCTCGAGGAAACTTCCTTAAGGCGTACTGGTACCGCTGGGCTGCTTCCTTCATCTTCCCTTTCTAGGAGTCAAATATCACAGAAATGGATCCCTCATCAGAGGTTCTATGGTCGGAGGCCCCAGGGGTAGCCCCATACAAGCAGCCATTACTGCACTGAACGCATCTGAGTGAGTGAGTGCCCACCCAGGACCGGCCACCCCACCGGTCCAAACCCACTCATGTTTACCGTCTTCTCCCACAACAGCATGCTGTCACACATAGTGGCAAGTGAGAAGTTTTACAATAAGGTGCTTGAAAATTGCCAAATTGATAACTGTCACTCTTAATGCAGCAACTTATCTGCTTTGGTTATACATTTTTGAAAATTATGTCATGAATGAGCTCTCCTCGCAAGATAATTTAATGCTAAATGTAATAAAAATCAGATTAAAAAATGATGCCATTCCTACCAAGGCAAGTAGAGTCTTGTGGATAAATCAAGAGCTTGCTGTAGAATAATAATTTTTCTTTTAAGAGGAACGAAAGCGCTGGCTTTAAAATCAGAACAGTACCACACATCATTTTCAAGGCTAAGGAAATCCATTTGCTCAGTCAGTTCTATCGCACAGCGGGAATGAAGCCTGTTGAAAATGGCTCGGTGTTCTGACATAATTGCCTACCAAAATTCATATTAAAATCACTTCAAAGACACAACAACACACATTCTGAACTCAATTTCAAACGGATTCCAAGGCAGGAACCCTGCTGGGTCATGCTATACGCCTATTTATTTGTTATTATTAAAAAATAAAAAGAGAGAAACAAAGAGGGGAAACCAGCAACATAGCAAGTACCCGAGCTTTGCAGAGAGAAAGGACTAAAATGGTCAGGATGGGGGGATTTCTCCCCATAATCTACTTTGAAAACTTTCTAATCATGGATTTAAACCAGGGTTGGCACCCATAGACCTACTGCATATCTTTAGAAATACAGTCTCCCAGGAGCACAGCTGCACCCATTCATTTACAGACGTGTCCTCTATGATGATTCTGTGCCACAACAATGGGCCTGGGTGGCTGTGACAGACACCGTGTGGCAGAACAGATTTCCTATCTGATCATTTACAGAAAGCACTTCCTGACTGAAGTCTTATTTTTGGAAATATACAGTAAAGATTTACAGTTAGATTTATTGATCCACAGAAAAGGTTTCCATTTCTTAAGAGACATGAAAGAAATCATATAAAACTAGGCCAGTCTCCTGAATGACTATGACGTATTACTTGACTAAGTGAAAAACATCTCTAGAAATTCCAGAACTTTCTGATAATAAAAATAAGACTTGAGATCCTTTATTTTCCACCCCTTCTGGAAACATCTCCCAGGTACTCTCCTTCCCAAGTGTCTCAGCACCATATCCCACCGAGCTGTCCTCAGTGTTGCCTAGGAAGCTGAGAGGCTATGTATGGTGCACCGATTCACGAGAGGCGATTCTGCTTTGATGGCAGATCTTCAGTTGGAGTGCACAGTTACGGCCTCAGGGACATCACATAGAATGGTTCTCAGGGAACAAATCAGGACATGAGGCCAGGTTAGCATTTTCTGGACTTTCTTGTAAAACCTGTTTGTAAAATTACTTGTATTCTCTGCAACAGCACAGCTAGGTCCCTGTAGTCGGTCACAAGCCATAGAAAAGGGCGATGCCACTTACTTTGTACATCATGTTTCCTTCCTCCATTAATTTCTGTAGAAGTATAATCAAAATGTCAGGTTTGGAAGTGGCCATCGCCCAAGCTGCATTTCCTGCAAAATAAACATGCATTCAGAGGCACTTCAGTGGTCCTGGAGAGACGGAGGTCAAGTCTTCTGAGACCTCACCAAAGCTTAATAGCACAAACAACAGAGAACCACTGTGTTCATGGCTCTCCAGCTTCCACACCATGAAATGAAGAATGATGACAGGGCACTTCCAAGATGGTCTAATCTTAGTGAACCAGGCACTTGTGAGGAAACGGTGCCTGGCCTAGATTCACTGCTGTGCTTCAAGTGAACAAAGTCTTGGGGTCCTAAGGCAATAGAGCAGTCATACCAATCCCATCCATAAGCATTTTGGGGATAGAGAACAATGAAATAAAAAATTTCAGGATCATTTTCTTAGGTTCTTGTAGTACCCATCACTATAAGCAAGTAATAGCGTTGTGTGTTCTTAGCATCCATCTGGGTTCTACCATTATTCTACTCTAGAGACTCCTGAGTGTGGCCTTTCCACTCTCTTCCCATCACCCAGGCTCAAGGCCTCCCTGCTCATGTCTACACCCACCTCCTGTCTCCTCATCGACATCATGACCCCTTCTCAACACCTGAGACATTTTGGTGTAGTGTTTAAGAGCTGGATTTGGGAGGCTTCAGTTAAAATCCTGACTCTGTTTGTCACTTACTAACCATAGGGTGGAGGCGGAGGCATTTCAAATCTCTGTGCCTTGGTTTTCTTATCTGTAAAATGATGATACTACTACAACTTAAAGGGTCGGGGTGAGCTTTAAACAAGTTAAAATGTGACAATGCTCAGAAGAGCTCCAGATACTTAACTGCTCAGTAATAAGAAGAAATGAATCCGGAAGGATGAAGTAATAGTAGGCAAAATTCAAAAGTGATTCATTTTACAAAATATAATGTATGGGAATGATTTTATGAAACACAACCTGAATGAAGGAGAGTGTGAAACACAATGTATACAAACTCTATATGCAAACTAATATAATTTTTTTTTTTTAAAAAAGGCAAATGAAGTCGTGTTCTTTCCAAGAACTACTCTTGGTCAAATGTGCATTTCAAAAGATAAACAGTGATCTTTGCTCAACACACTCTGAATGGCATTTCACCTCCAAGCTGCCAAGCAGAAGGGATTGTCTATACTCAGAGCCCCCACTTATCTTGTCTCCATGAGATGGTACATCTCATGAGATGAGATGACCCTTCCCTTGTATACACAATGCACTGGGTTTGCAATGTGCTTCCCTTGCTCGTGGTGATGACTCTAGAACAGTGGATCTCAACCTAAGCTGCTCACTAGAACCAATAGGAGAATTTAAGAACCAGATTCCCAGCCCCACCTTACAGCTTTGGGCTTTCTTACACCCTGCACCTCCACCAGATGATCTACATTAGCTTCTGCTCTCCACCAAGAGTCCTTGGGTGCTGCAAAGCATTAGTTTCCCTGGCCGTTAACTGAAAGGTCAGGAGTTCAAGTTCACCCAAAAACTACCTTAAAAAAAAAGGCTAGTGATTTATTTCCCCCCAAAAAAATGCCAACCATTGAAATCCTCTTCTGACCCACATGGGGTCACCATGAATCTGGACTGAATGAGACAGAACGAATGATTCTACCTACACTGTCAACAAGACGATTTACTGAAACATTTAGGAGAGAGCTTCTGAGACGAAGTCTGTACAAGTCTGTTCATCCAAAGGCAGTGCCTGTTTGGCAGTTTGAATCCACCAGTGGCTCTAAGGGAGAGATGGACAATCTCCTACAACTTATAGAATCCTTCTAGAAGGTTCCCTATGAGCACTTTCCAACCCCATGGCAATGATTTTGAAAACATTTAGGATGATTTAAGGAGCCTTAGAAAAAAAGAAATCTCCATTCTCTACATTTATTTCTTGCCCTGGGGGCAAGTAAGGGTTTAGGCTCCCTCAGATTCTGTAAAAACTGAAGCCCACCTTCCTCTCCCTGCTCAATGAAGTAAGGTGGCATTCACTGACCCAGTTTGGCTCCTTTGCGCAGCAGTGTCACCACCACAGACGTGTTCCGACAACCGATGGCCCTGTCCAGGGGCCGCATGCCGCTGTGGTCCACGTGCTCGATCACCGCGCCCTTCTCCACCAGGTACAGCACCTGCAGTGGAGAGAGTTCCTGAGCAGGCGCAGGGCGGAGGGGCAGCCCCACCTCAGACTCCTGGCCCAGCTGGGCCCAGCTCCACTCTTCCTGAACATGTCTGTAGCCACTAGGGGTCCTGGGATGGAAGTGGAACTGATATAAAACAGAGGAGAGCAGCGATCGATGGCCAAAGCCCACCATCAGAGGAACTGTGACTGATATCAGTGCAGCAAACAGGGGGCGTGCGCCACACTGTACACTCACACATACAGCGTGTGCCTGCCTGGTGACCAGTCCAGTCCACCTGGCTGTGTCTCCACCACTTCCCAGCCCACAGAGAGAATACTCACCTGCTCATCGCCAGTTAGTTAGGAGATAGATTCTACAGTGAAGCCCACTTTGCTGGCAGGTGACATGGCAATGAGCACTTGAGAAACCCTCAGACCCCAACAAGAGCAGGCTGCAGGATCAGCAGCTTGGAACCAGAATAATTCAACTTTAGAGTTGACAAGAAAAAACAAAACAAAAAAACCAAAACCAACTGTAGACTAGGACTGTAAAGATGACAAGTTTGAGGCCAGAATACAGACTGATAAGGGAGCTGTCACTTCAGTGACCACGCTGACTACTCCAAATTTTCATCCTAAAATGCAGCCACTTTAGACTTTTACACGCGTATGACACGAGGCACTTCCTAATCAGCTGTTTCAAAGCGACACTGGAGCACTACCTTCCCGAATGTTGACAAAATCTCGAAAATGCCATTAGAATAGCTGAAAGAGGAAAATGTGAGAGTTCATGAAATATTTATTTCCGCAACTCAATATGAAGTTCAGAACACAAGATCTAGGAACAGACCACGTAACCCTAGCTTCATGGACTCTGGCAGACCAAGGCCCAGGTGTGCGGGGTGCTGGCTTTTTCTCCAAGCGCCACAGTAACTGATCAGCACAGCACGTGTCTCTTAAGCTGCGTCCCATTGCAGACCCACCAAACTATTCAACGCTGCTGACGCTCAGGTAACGGTGTAGTTCTCTACCATGCTGGCTCCTGGCATGTAGAATGTGACCAAAAAAAATACGGTTTCTGCCCTGGAATACATTTTGTAGCTCTTAATTCATTCAGGTTTTATCTCTTCACACATTTGGGATTGGAACTTAAGCATTTGGCAAAGAAATAAAGACGGTCCCCAAAGTATTTCGTACTCTGTAGGCTGCACTGCCTTAAAAGCAAACTATTGGGGGGAGTGTGCAAACGATTTCATTATTCCATATATATATAATAATTTTTAAAATGCCTATTCACTTTGTAAATCTTCACTGAAATCACAGTAAAAACCTTTTTACAAATGATAACAAAACTAAGGAAAAATAATGAATACAGATATTCTATGAGAAAAGAAAACCACACATGCCTGTATGTACACATATTCAAATATATATGTCTCTGTTGTACATGCGAGTTTACCACCATGGCTTTTAAAATTTAAAGAGTCTGCAAAATTCTTTACTACATTTCTGTAATACACTGCAGGCCAGGGAAATGGGAGATTCACCACAACACACAAACACACACTGACCAGTTAGGCACAGCCTCACACACACACTGGAAACTGGCTACTCTGGGAGTGCTATGTGCTGCTGGCCCTGGGCCTGCAGCTGGTGGAGGGACTGACCGTCTCTGCATCCCCGTAGAAGGCTGCCAGGTCCAAGGGCGTGCGACCGTTCTTGTCTGTCTGGTCTATCTCGGCTCCTTCTTCAACTAGATACTGGACCACCGTCCTGTGACCTTTCAGACAAGCCCAGCTTAATGCTGACAGACCCTCTTTGTCCAGAGAAGAAAGGACAGCACCTGAAAGAAAAGCCCAGTCATAAAACACAAACCTAATTAAGAAAAAGCGAAGAAGCAAACCATTTCATAACTGCAGATACTTGATCTGAAAAATGGGTCAATCAAAAGATGTGGAATTTGAAGTCAACCACCAGAAAAAAACATCAGGAGAAATCTGACATCACCCTGGGCAAAGCAGAGGGGCAGTGAGAAAGAGGAAGACCCTCAATGGGGTGGACTGACAGTGCCGTAACAATGGACGCAGATACAGAAATGAATGGGAGCCTGCAGGACTAGCTGTGGTGGACTCTGCGGAACATGAATGAGAACTGACTTGGCACCTAACAACAAAATACCTTGTTCAAGCTGCATATTAAAGATGTGGGGGCTCACTACCCAGCTTCTCTATTTCTGTGTGTGCTCAAGAATGTCCATTTTAAAATGTGAATCAGAAAGTATTCAATGGATCTGCCTAAACTCTTCCATTTCTCTACAAGAAACACAGGCAGAGTAAATGTGCGGCTACCTTTAGAAAGGAGAAATTCCACAGTGCTCAAGTGCCCTTCACATGCAGCCACCATGAGAGGCGTCCGCCCCTGCTTATCACTCAGGTTCACGTCACAGCCGCACTCCAGGAGCAACCTCACAATCTGAAAGAAACAGAGTGTCACAGCGTCCAACACATGCCACACAGTGGGCTCTTCCCTCCCTCCCTCCCTGCCTCTTGAAGCAGTCAAACCTCCCTCTGTTTAAAACCCCTGCCAGTTTCCTGGTCCAGAGCTTGTAAACGCGCTCTCCTCGATGCCTTTGAACAGAACCTTTACCCATGTGTGTGTGTGCTGTGACCAGTCAGGAAGAGTCATTCTGAAGGAGGAAATGACAACCACAATCTGCTCAAAGATAACACATTCCCAATGGGAGACCGGTGTGGGTGTGGGTGTGTGTGTGTGTGTGTGTGTGCAGGGGTCATTTGGCTGGAGCCGAACCTGCATAACCGTGGGGTATGTACTGAGGAGGGGCTCTCTACCCCATGCTTTTAGAGGATTTGAGTCTCAGAGAATGGCTCTAGCTCTATAGAGTGTAGTATTCCCCCCCGCCCCCCAAGAGTGTAATATTTTTACACTCTACAGAAGATTCTCTGCCTCTGGGTCAAGTCTTTAATAAAAACAGAACACAGAGCTCAAGTTGAGGGATGGTGATTGTTGCTGTCTATCGATGAGTTGGAACCAAACCATAGCTGACCCTTCGGCAGGTTTTCAGAGGCAGTTAATCACAAGGGAGGAGACTGCCCACCTTCTCCTGCAGAGCAGCTGGTGACCTCCAACCACGTGCCTTCAGGTTGGCAGTGGAGCTTCTTGCCACGAGGTCACCAGAGTTATAAGGCCCAGACCCGCTGAGGGAACTCTGGTATCTTAGTGGTAAGGAACTGCACTGCCAGAACAAAGGTATTCAGCTCAACTCTGCTGCACTACAGGAGAAAGATGGGCAATCTCCTCCTATTTGACTTACTGCCTCTGAAATTCTGCCGGAGGGTCAACTATGGACTGGTTCCATCTCAACAGTACACATTAACAGTAGTGAGAACTGCCCCCTTCAAGCACATAGTCCAAAGTTTGCCCTGTTCTCATCCGCACTAGGGAATTCTGGTGGCTTAGGGATAAGGAGCTACACTGCCAACCCAAAGGCACGCGCCTGCACTGAAGGAAAAACACTCTCCTCCCGAGGGGTTTACAGTCTCGGAAAACTTGCTGGAGGGTCAGCTTTGAGTTGGTTCTGACTCAAGAGAAAAACCAACACCACAGTCTTTTCTATGTAAGAACAGAAGGGGCATATTCCCACTGCTGTTTTTTTTCTTCACACACGAACAAGTTTTTTTCAATGTCTTGGTGAGAAATGAGCCACAGTACCGATACAGAAGTTGTGAGGGTGGCAGGAAACATGGTGCAAATCCCTCTTTGCAACCAAGTTCCTAACAGGAAGGAAAGTTAAAGCAAATAGTCTAAATCTGAGTGGGGACCCCCTCATGGTATCTCCCATTAATGGGCACAATAGGAAAGGGACAATAGCAGTTTCATTATGTGAATCTTAGTCTTCCTATAGCAGACCACCTGTTATCCTGTGTTTATGTCCTGTGTGTAACCCTGCATAAGGTGTGTGCTTGGTGCACAGTCATTGTTCGCAAAGTGTATGAGCAAACCCGTGCTTTCAAATGACTGCTCCCTTGGATTAAAGAAAGGCAATACATCATGCATAGTAAAAGGTGACCAGCCTGAATGACAGCAATGGATCAGGGGGGGAAATGTTTCTATTTCCAAAGAGCACAACAGAACTGCTCTTCTTCCAAATATGTGGAATGAAGATTACAGAATAACAAGGATGTTAGAGCAAATTTCTCTTGATGGGCCTCACTCACTTGCTCAGCCCAGCATCTCAGGATCCTCCCATATTTTATGGCCTGATTGGTCTTATTTTAGGACCAACCAGTCTTGTTCCTTGGTCTCAATGAGGAACATGTGCTTTACCAAATGTGTGCCTTTATGTGGGAGAACTGAGGGCAAAAGCAGAAGCCAAGTAGTGAAAGATGACCAGCAGTGTTAAGGGCACTTGGCTAAGCGTGATAGGTGGGGAGACAGGCAGTAGTGAAGTTTGTCTCCACTCACTGCTTCTGAAGCATAGAAGGACCCACACGGTACCTGCCAATGTCCCTGTCGTGCTGCACAAAACAAAGGTGGGACCCCTCGCCTGTTAGTCCGAGACACGATGGCTCCATGGTCCAGCAGCAGCTCGCAGACCTCCAGCTTCCCTCTTCCTGCAGCAGCAGTGAGAGCTAAAGGAAGGGGCAGGAGTGTCAGTACGTGCTGGATTAAAGATGGTCAGATTCTCTGATGCTCTCCTATTGAGTAGTAGAGGTCTATGCACCCTCCCTTCTTAAGCCTGGACGTGGCGGGGGGGGGGGGGTGCATTCGGTGACGGCTTCGGCCAACAGGACACAGCAGACCAGATGCTTAAAAGAGAGGGACCTTCTGCTTCCTTGGATCACTCTGTGCTAGGACTCTGACACGGTGTTGTGAGGAAGCTCAAGCTGTCCTGAGGATAGCGCATGGGATAAAGAACCAGGCCCTGGCTGTGGATGGTGGACAGCCCAGCTGAGCTCTCAGCTGACAATCAGCACCAACTATCCAGTCGTGTGTGGGGGGGGGGGGGGGGCGGGTGGGGGGGGCTGGTTCTGGAAGTGAGTCTCCCACTTCAATCAAGCTGTACCAGCTCAAGCTGGGTGAACAAGGGTGAGCCATCCCCACCAAGCCTCATCCAAACCACAGATTCATATTGCCGTTATGTACTGTCAAGTCAGAACCGACTCACAGCTAGCTCTCCAGCAGGTTTTCAGAGGCAGTAAATCACACAGGAGGAGACTGCCTAGCTTCCTCCTGCAGAGCAGCTGACAGATTCATATTGCATCCCTTCAGCTTGGCAGTTTATCTCCTTACACTAGGCCACCATAGGCCACCAGAGTTCCTTACAGAGAGGTGGTGGTTGTTCTATACCACTGATCTGTGAATGAGCCACAGCTGACCTTCCAGTGCGTTGTCTGTAAGAAGCGTGGGAGGAGACTGCCCATCTTTCTCCCACAGAGCAGCTGGCAGATTCAAACCATGTGCCTTTGGGCCTGGCAGCACAGCTCCTTACCACTAGGTCACAAGAACTCCCTACAGACTGGTTAGGGAAGTCAAACTGCCAACCTTTCAGGTCGCAGCCCAATACTTAACCTACTATGCCATTAGAATTCCATAAGCCACGATGTTTTATTCTGTCCGCTCTCCACAGCAACAGTCAGTCAGTATATGACAAGAACAGAATGTGGAGATTAGTATTATTGGCCATTTTATCTCTTATCCTTGAAGTCATTAATTTTATTTAACAAATAACTTCCTTAATCAGATAGATAAGAGGCTGTCATATCATTCCCTTAAGACTCTTAGAATCTCTTTTAATGGAATTCAGGTTCAGGATTAATAACATCAAACAAGCAAGAGAGGACGGGACTGTAGAAGGCCTTGAATGTTCAAATGAAGAGCTTGGATGTGACTCCACAGGCAGAGAGCGTCCTAGGGGCTGGGGCACAGGGTGAGATGGGAGTGATACAGTGAAGTTAGCTAAAGATAAAACAGAAACAACAGAAAGGGAAAAAACACCAAGCCAAGGTTCTCACGATCCTTCACTTCAGTAACTACACCTCCCCTTCCGAGTTAGTGGTTCTCAATCTGGGGAGGGAAGAGCGGACAGGTGAAAAGTGGGACTTGGTTAAAGAAAAGGTCTCTCATACTGTGTGAGCCACTGACTGGAGGGAAGGGAAGCAGCAGGTTCCAGGTACAAGGCCAGGCAAGGTCAGCAAGCTCTCCAGGGGAGAAGGAGACAGGGAAGGGCTGGGAGGTTTGGGGGACTCCTCAGCCAAGGTGCACCCCAGGACAGAACAAAAAGGTGAGGATTCAGGTCAGACGCTCTGATTCTATCCCTCATGCCTGCCTGGGATGAGGGCTTTGAAATACAGTCCCTATAAATTGATAGCTTCCAAGATAGAGCTAATGTCCTCACAAACTGGTGAGCAGACAGAGAACACAGAATCAAAGACGGGCCTAGGAACAGAAGCTTCACAGAAGATGGAATCCAAATGCCAACGAACACAGAGAACGTGTTGAACTTCATTAGTAAGTCAAGTAATTGAGAAATTACTGTGGTGGGGTGGGAATCTTGTACAATAGTGGTGGGTGATTCACTCTGCAAAATGGCTTTGCAAAGCCACAGACAAATGTCCTACAGCCAGGAATGCCACTGACAGGCACGTGCCCTCAAGTAACTTTTGCTCAAATGTACCAGGAAACATGTACTAGTCATTGCAGTCTAAGACTGGAACCCACGAAAATGCTTATCAATAATGTTGTTGTGTGGCTGAGTCAAGTAGAATTCATGGTGACCCTTCGAACAATAGATCTAAACCCTGTCCTATCCTGTGCCATCCTTAGCATCTGATATACCTGAGTCCATTGCTGTCATCACTCAGTCAATCCATCTAACTGAAGGTCTTCCTCTCTTTCACTGACCCTCCACCCTTCCAAGCATGATGTTCCTCTCCAACAAATGGCCCCTGGGAGACTGAGCCAAATTTGTGGTATAGTCAAACGAAACGATACCAAACAGTATGGAACAAAAATGCTTAAGCAGCTAAAAATGCAATAAAATGTGCCAGTCTCACAAACTTAAAACCAATTTAAATTATCAGAGCATAAAAAAACAAGTTCAATGTGACCTCTTTCACTGAGCCATCCAGGGTCCTCTGTTAGAGGACTGGGGAAAGTCGGCAGTGCTGGCCTGTCCTTCAGCTCTGTCTCCTGGGGACTACAGTGCTGTCAAGATCAAGAGAGGAGAATGCACTAGAGTGCGCGTGTCTAGGTTTGTCTGTCCTCCTCAAGGCCCTAGGAGGACAGACAGCTGCCACTACCCCCACTTCCAATGAACTTGGCTGTGGTTTTAATCTCCAGGAACCAACATTCTCCTAAGTTCCCAATGCACGGGCACACATCTACTTGACATCTGGGTCTCATCTCCCTTTGACAAACAATGGTTCCTCTAAGGAGCAAAGTCTCCATGGCTCATCCTGAGGGACACAATGTTGTGTACCCGATGACCTGACTTCTACACACATTACTCAGAGACATCCAGTCTGCCCTATGGATCACCTGAGCCCCGATTCTCACCCATGGCTCACTGGTTTTCTCAGCCAGGAGTCTGAAGAAGTGGGACTCATGGGAGTGAACAAGTGGTGGGCCAGACAGGTCCACTGTCTGCTGGAGGCCCAATGATGCAGAGCTTGGACCAGGAAGATGACAGTAAACACAAACACTCCCACTTGGCTGCCTGTCCTCAGCGTCTCTGAAAGCAGTGAGAGAGGACTTCTTGGTGACTTCATCACAGACCAGTGCCTGGTGAGGGTTTGCATGACAGCCCAGAGAAATAGGGAGTGGTGTATCGTCCTGGCCAACGCCTGACTATTCTGTGGATGACGATTCACTCATCCTCCAACTTCAACCTGCCTCTTTCCTGGAAGAATAGCATCACATTTCATGGGGAAAGTATTTCTGAAGGGATCTCTTGACTTATTTGTAAAACCAATAGCCTCAAGGGTTCAAGGATAAAGAACAGAGGCCACAGAGTAAAAGTTCTGATCCCTAACTTCCCCAGGCCTCTAGTTCCCATGATGTCCCAATATCCAAAGCAGCTGTAATTTCCCCCAAGTTGTTGTTGTTATGTGCAGTTGAGTTGCCTGCGACCCATAGCCCCTCTGAAGCCTGTCCTGTCCTGAGCCAGTCTCATTGATTCTGACACACCAACTCCCACTGCCCCAGTTACAACTCACCCAGGGTTTTCCTCTCCTGCACGTCCCGCCACCCTTCCGAGCAGGATGTCCTTCTAAGGCACAGCAAATTCTGATCACATGTTTTAAAAAAAAAATATTCACAATTTCTCTTAACCCTTCAGGATATTACTTTGCTTGTAGTTGCAACGTGGTCTCTCCTAGCTTTCTGAGGAAGTAGCTGGTAAACTCAGTAAGAGTAGATGAGTTTGAGTTGGTGAAGAGACAACCTGCAGGTCAGGGCTCTCAGAAATGAGGGGCACTCCGGGGTTTTAGAGCCAAGGCCACACACAGTCTGGTGTCAGAGACTGACTGCTGGACAAGAGCCTTGAGAATATGGTCTCTTGAACATTCTCAGTTACCATGTGTGATCATAACAAATCTACAAAGTCTCTGGGGTACAGTATCCTCCTTTGTAAAGTTAATGGATAACATCAGATTTAAGAAGAATCCAAAGATTTAACAAGTATTTAATTATAATTTTGTCCTTTAAATGTAAATTAACTTTTAAAAAAGCATACATAATCAATTCAATACCACCCCACATTTACTGTTACTCAATTTTAGTACTCTGTGCCCTGCTAATACATCATCAGTGACCTGGGTAACCTTTATATGGTTGGTAGTCTACACAAGGATGCTCATGTCATCTGTTTATTCAAAGAATTTTCCCCAGACTGTAAAATGGTACAACCACTCTGGAAGGCAATTTGGCGTTTCCTCAAAAAGTTGAACACAGAAATTCCATTTGATCCAATTATTCCACTGCTAGGAATATACCTCAAGGGAAATAGAACTGAGACACAAATGGAGAAGTGTACACTGATGTTCATAGCAGTGATATTCACAATATAGAGAAAATGGAAACAGCCATCAACAAATGAATCAACTGAGAAATTATAGTACATTCAAACGATGGAATATTTATGCAGCAGTCAGGAGCAATGAGTCAGGAAAGTAATATATAACATGGTGGAGTGTGGAGAGCATTAAGTTAAGTAAACTCACTCAGTCTCATAAGGACAAATATTTATGCAGACCATTATTGTAAAATAGAAGGATTACTAGTAAGATTACTAGTACCAAAATCCAATGGGGGAAAGGGAGGGAGGAGAGAGACTGAAAATCGGGAGGGGAGAAAATCATGAAGTCATAGAGTTTGGTAGTCTGGGGGAGGGGATAAAGGAATTAGGGAAGATCCAAGAGTGACCTGAAAAGGCAGGGTAATGGTATGAATCAATGGTGATTAATTTTATAAAACACGATCTATGGGAATGATCGTATGAAATACAATATGATTAGAGGAATGTGTGAGACACAATGCATATAAATAAAACACATATATACAGAATTTGTAAAAAAAATATATAAAATTAAAATAATTTTTTAAAAAGTCCCACAACCCTAGAAGAGTCATT